CATTTCCATGGGGATTATTTGGCCCTGCCCCCTTAGTCATGGTCTATTGACTTGAAACTTTTGCTTAATTTACATGTATCAGTTTGTGATTAGGTCAGTTCAAGGAGAACCACTTGTGGTAAGTCAATGATATTTGGTAAGCAGTTGTATAAGCATTGGCATATCTCATTTCCATGGAGAATATTTGGTCCCGCCCCTGCAGTCATGGTCTATTGACTTTGAAACTTTTGCTTAGTTTACATGTATTAATTTGTGATTAGGTCAGTTCAAGGGGAACCATTAGTGGTAGGCCAATGTTAATTGGTATGCAATTGTATAAGCATTAGCACATCTCATTTCCATGGAGAATATTTGGTCCCGCCCCCTCAGTCATGGTCTATTGACTTTGAAACTTTTGCTTAGTTTACATGTATTAGTTTATGATTAGATCAGTTTAAGATGAACTGCTAATGTTAATTCAATGATAGTTGGTATGCAAATTTATTGGCATTTGCAAGTCTTGTTTCCATGGAGATTATATAGCCCCACCCTCTCATCATGGTTCACTGACTTTGAAACTTTTACATAGTTTACAAGTCAATGTTTGTGTTTAGGTTTGTTGAAAGGGAACGACTTAAGATAAGTCTATGGTATTTGGTATTTGGTATGCAGTTGTATTAGCATTGGCACATCTCATTTCCATGGAGATTGTTTTGCCATGTACCTTCAGTCATGGTTCATTGACTGAATATTTGCATAACTTACATGTTAAAGTATTGCTATTTTAGTTTCAACATTTGCATTATCAAAAGTACAAAAAGGTCAGACATATCTCTGTGTTAACAGTATGTTTTATTGTATGTTTTTATATTCATACTCATTTCATTCAGTGCATACACAATTTCATAAAAATCTGAAATACCACCCAATTGTGTACTATTTCCCTTAAGGTAATGTTTATGGACTTGTCTTTCTAAAAAGACCTTTAGAAAATATGCTTATGTAGAGTATAAGAATAGATTAAAGGCTCTCGATAAATTTCCTCTGAGAAAGGTAGTACTTAAAAAACTTGTCTTACAGAATCAATTGTTGAGTTTTACACTACTGCATTTCACAGTTTAACTACATTATTATGACAATCATATGATCCTCAATCAATTTTTTTACAAGTGGTTTGAATCTGGAAATGAGTTTATTCAGAAGGTGTTGTATGGGAGGTAACTCTAGAAGCTAATTTATAGAATAGTTTGAATTATTTCCCTTAGAGTATTGACAATGATTGAATTAATTTTTCATACCATATATTCTGCAAGGTAATAAATCAACATCTGTCTGGTTTTCTTTCATATTGCAACATTTGATTTATGCATTGATATTAAAAGTGTTGTCATTTAAATTTGGTACTTACCTGAATTAGTTTTATTTCCTTTTTTAATGTTTTTTTGTCTTAGAAAATAAAAGTGATTTCACTGATAATGTAAAGCATTAGATCAGAATACTTAAGTATGCTTACATTGATTTGCTCCAAACATTTATTTGGATTGATAAAAGGAAACTCCCTTTTGATTTTGAATATTTTCTGGTTATCTTTTTAGAGTTACAGGACTTAAACTCAAATTTAAGTTGTTGTTATAGGTAAAAAAAAAGTACTTTTTGATTTTGAACATTTTCCTATTTCTTCATTCCAGACTAAATTGGACATACCTTCAGATTTTAGGAATTTTTTCACATGTCACACAATCTTGCTCTATAGTATGCTTTGATCAAATGACTACACAATGTGAACTTTATATTGTTGTTTGTATTCGAAAGAAGGAAGTATCATTCTTTCCTGGCCCAGCTGTTCATTTTGTATATTCATCGGTGTCAAGTCTTTCAAGAGTAAGGGAGCTTGTAATTCAGGGGTTCTTGTATGTGGCTGTCTTTCATATTCATTTTTTTTTCGTTCATTATTTTTTACACAAATGGGGTGGTTTGTTTTCTGTTTGAATTGTTTTATATTTTGTCATGTCAGGTCATTTTATAGCTTACTATATGGTATGGGGATTTGCTCATTATTGTAGTTTTATGGTGAACTGTAGTTGCTTACATCTACATCAATTGGTTTGGTCACTGTGGATAGATGTTATTTCACCTTTGACAAAGTCGCAGAATGCAAGACATAGGGATTACTACCTGGTGGCAATGTAAACTATTTGTATAAAGCTTTATTTTTCAGAAGATGGAACTGGATGCTTCATACCTTGTATGCTGATGACATGTGTTAAGAAGTTTTTGCCTGTCATATGTCCATTGTCCTTGACCTCATTTTCATTGTTCAGCGACTACTTGGCAAAAATGTTTAATTTTTATGTCATGTGAATTACTCAATTTTTGTATCGCCTGCGACAACTTACAGAATGTGAGAAAGGGATTATTATCCAGCATTGGCATAAACTATATTTGCTTTATCGTTATATGGGATCCTTGCAAGGTCTTCATGTCAGTCAGATAGGGTTCACCTGACGTTGACCTCATTTCATGGTTCAGTGAATAAGGTAAATTTTTTCTTGGTCAAGTCTGTATCTCAGATACTATAAGCAATAGGCCAACTATATTTGGTGTATGGAATGATTGTAAGGTGTACATGTCAGTCTGGCAGGTTTCATCTGACCTTGACCTCAATTTCATGGTTCATTGGTCAATGTTAAATTATCATAATTAGGTCTGTTTCTCGGATATACTATAAGGCTTAACTATATTTGGTGTTTAGGAGGATTGTAAGGTGTTAATGTCAGTCTGGTAGGGTTAATCTGACATTGACCATGTTGACATGGAACATTAATAAAGTTAAGTTTATGTGATACTTGCAGTAAAACCTTCATATTATAGAATTTCAACATAAATTCTTTCATAATAAGTAAAGTAAAGCAGAGGAGACATTTCAACATGTGCACTCTTGTTTCGGTCATGACTGGCAAATATGACTGTTTCCAGACCCTCGCTCATTAGCCATCATACCACATCTTATTTTTATGTTAATGTAAAGATGATTATTTGGTGGGATAGGTTCATTCTTTTGAATCTATTGAGCAAACATAGGACGGAAATGTGAAACATCTATAGATGATCAGAACTTTCAAAATTATGTATCCATGGAATGTTTAATAACAGCTGTGGAACTGCTTCTTTGGGTTTCAAGCAGCAGTAAAGTATAAAACTTGGGGACAATAAAAATAATTCATAGTAGCCATATCTGCGTCCGTCTAATGTCAGCTCTTGTGTGGTCCTTGTGGTGCATTAGTGCCTCCATTTATTTAGATTCACATCACACTAGTGTCCCAGAAGCGAGAAAAAAATTGGGGCAGGTGCTTTTGAGGCATGACACAAGCAAACCATACCCATGACCATAAATGTTGACTTAAAAAATTTCAGCATCAATATAAATTATGCAAATAATGGAAAACTAGGAATTTCATCAAAACAGGCGAGCAAAGATTAAGTGTCATAATAATATCAAAATGTTTGTTGATTGATACACCTGTTAATTTCCTTATTTCAGCAATAAAATAGGCAGTCATGTCATAAATTACTTAATTCTTTATTTAATGGAGACTTGGTTACCTCCTCAATTTCATTAAAGCTTCTGTCTTGTATAAGACCTTCCTGCCAAAGGTCGTGGTTCTCTCCAGCTTCCTCCACCAGTAATAAAAACTGCTTCGCTGAGCGCAGCTAGATACGCCCGCAGAGGTCCAACCCTGAACAGTTGGGGCAAAAATGGACACAATATTCAAGCTTGATTCAGGTCTGAATTTGGATTGTAATTAAATATTTGACATATAGGTTTCTGAATAAATGTAGTTAAAGAACTTGAAATTGGTTATATGAATTGAATTTATATTCAATTAAAGATTTCTTGCTGTTGTGCAATACTTAGTAAATCTGTTGTCAGACTATAAACAAATAAAGTTCAATTAATTCTCAATGTCATATAAGAAATTTATGAAAATAAAAAAGGGAGATAACATCAATAAATATAAACAATTCACCAAAGTTTCAAGAGAATTGGTGACAGCATTTTTGAGTTATTGTCCGAAAACTGGAAAATCACCCCTTTTTTAATGAATAAAACCCCATAACTCAGAAATGTAAAATGTAAAATTTATAAAATTCTAAAGGGAGCTTACATCAATACATACAAACAATTCACCAAAGTTTCATAAGAATTGCTGAAAGCATTTTGGAGTTTTTGTCCGAAAATTGGAAAATCCCCCCTTTTTTTATGAATAAAACCCTGTAACTCGGAAACGTAAAATCTAAATTTCATAAAAATCGAAAGGGAGCTCATGTCAATAGATATAAACAATTCAACACAATTTCTTGCAAGTTGGTGAAAGCATTCTTGACTTATTGTCCGAAAACTGGAAAATCCCCCTTTTTTTAATGAATAAAACCCCATAACCCCGAAACGTAAAATATAAATTTTATAAAAAATGAAAGGGAGCTCATGTCAATAGATATAAACAATTCACCACAATTTCTTGCAAGTTGGTGAAAGCATTCTTGACTTATTGTACGAAAAACTGGATAATCCTCTTTTTTTAATGAATAAAACCCCATAACTCGGAAACGTAAAATCTAAATTTTATAAAAAACGAAAGGGAGCTCACGTCAATAGATATAAACAATTCACCAAAGTTTTATGCAAATTGGTTAAAGCATTTTTGAGTTAATGTCTGACATGTTGACGACGGACGGACGGACAGAGGTATACCATAATACGTCCCGTAAACGGGCGTATAAAAACTGACAGACATGAAATAGCACATTAGTGTTGAAAGTGGCATTAAACACCAATCAATCAATTGTATAAGACCTCCTGTTTTACTTAACCAATGCCTAGGATCTCAATAACAACCTATAGATAATGAAACTCTGACAATCAATACCATGGACACAGAAGACCTTTTTTCCTGACCTTCAAACAACCTTTAGTCTAGCAACCAGTATTTTGCTGTGTCAGTAAATAACAATAATATAGCTGGATTATTATATATTTTATTGATATTTGAGCAATACTTCCATAATACAATGAGCATGCATACACACATGTTACAATCAAATTATAAGCTGAAGATGAGGCAAGAAAATAAAGAATAAAATGTTATAACATTATAACTGGCAAGAAATTGTACCACAGCTAAAAACAAAGGCTTTTCTGGGCAAAACAATGTCCATAACAACCAATTTCAACTAATGTAAATTTCCTCATTATCTTGTTATTTGTTTTAAAACTAAATTTAATGGAAGATTGCATTTTTCAATAAATATCTTATAAAGAAAATGTAATGCTTTGAAATTTTTCAATTAATTTCATTTAATTAATAAGTTTTTTTGTGATAAACTTTGATGTTAGGAAAACAAATTTTGTCACAGTTGATTACTCTGCAAATATGAATTTTAATCCAAAGCAGTTAAAACACCTTTAAAATTTCAAGAGACCTTCCAAAAATTGCTATTCATTCGTGGTTTGTTTAATACACATTCGTCTGTGAAAGGTAACTAGTGTTTTAATCATAATGGACCATACATTGGTCAACTGTATGACTCTGAAGATTTAGGTCAACTGTATGACTCTGAAGATTTAGATGTTAGAATAGAAATATGTAATTTATATCAACATGATTTTATTTACATTGATTTAGGTACCCTGATTAATTACAATTATTTATATACATACTAACTGTGAAATGATATCAAAATGAGTAAAATGAGAATAATGTATTTTCCTATATCATTTTGATCCTGATGACGATTTAATTTGTTTATGTTTAATATTACAAATAATACCACGCTTCTTTGGCTTAAAAATTCACAGACGGTGACATAGAACGGTTATGTACCCGCATAGAAAGTCATGCTTTACCCTACAAGATATGAATACACGGCTATATAGTTATGGAGTTTTCTTTGATTGCAGTACAATGCCAAACTTCCTTTAAGGCTTCTTAATGTTTAAAATTGTTTTATATATCCATGGCAACCTTAATTTCCCTGAGTTTTACGTCATTGACAGTAGTACCCTATGATTGTCTGTATGTTTTATAATCTATTACAATTTTCCAACTATCAAATGATTAAAATTACTAATACAATTGTAAAACTTTATGCAAAGGTTTCAAAAAAATAAAACAGAATCCAAACCGGACAAAAATTAAATGACTGATGACCCGTAAAATTTGCAGTTTGGAAGGTAAAAGGCATTCAAAAATTTTGTTTTAAAAATTCTGTTAAAATGGAAATGATTTTTTTTTTTTTTTTAACGACTTTCATCCTTGATAAACTTATTATGACATAATCTAATTAACATGAAAGAGCTGACCTATTAGTATGTATTGGTTGATGCTGACTCTGTTTAATTTTCTTTTATGTGATACCATAGGAACTTTGTTTGGGTGAACTTACAAATTGCCTTTCCATACATACCATTTCCTTTCCAGTTTATCAAACAGTTAATAACACAATTCAGTACTTATAAAATTTACCAATATTTTTCACTGCTTTTTTTATTTATTTAAAATTTAGAGCATACTTTTTGAATTTCAAAAACTAGGACTGATTCCTTTTAGAATATTTAATTTGATACCAACAATAAATTTGAAAACATTATTCTACTTTTATGACCTCTGGCATATATAATTTACTTGGATTCCTCCTGATCGTTCTCTTAATACCAACTAAAATAGCATAAATCAGCCAGTGTGGAAATATGTAGGCAGGATTTTTGAACTTTTACACCACAACATATGTCACAATACATGATAAATTAATGTGTAAGTTTTTACATGAATAAATTGACAGAATTTTTTACAATGAATAGATGCAACAATAGAGGAATGAGGTGAATTGAAAAATAATAGCGATAACAACACACATATACACATCAATGCCCTATTTGAGAGTCTTGTTGCTTGGTAGTCACAATTCTTACTTATTTGCTTTTTCTGTGTTCTATGATAACTATCAGTATACATCAAATATTCCAAGATAAGCAACTTCATACTTATAAATAATGTATCATGATTCTGCCTGCCAAAACCTATCTTTCTATAACAGTTACAACTGACAGGCGTGAGCCAGCTAAAACATACTTTTCTACAACTACATGTACTACAACTGACAGACGTGAGCCAGCAAAAAATACTATTTCTATAACCTCAATTACTACAAGCGTTCTCTTCCATTTAAAGGGTGGTAATCCAATTTATCTTTAAGTGTCTAACACATGACTTTTGATACTTTTTAATGTCACGTCAAAAACAGTACTTTTAATACCAATACTGTTGTGTCAATCACACTACTGAAATTCTTGTAAAAAATTGTAGGAATTAAGTATCAAAATATATCCATACTGTTACTTTTCAAGGGTAGATCCAAGTTTTGGAAAAAAAGGGGGGTGTTATTGTCATATATTGCCTGGTCTAGCAATGTAAAATTTTTGATGGACAATTTTATATCAACATTTTTTTTTTTTTCAGACAATCAAAGGGATATGCTCCCCCTCCCCTTTTGAATCTGACACTGCTTTTAGCTAATTAAACCTTCAATTGCTATAAAATATTGATTTACCCTACTTCCATCTTCATCTGGACCAATTGCCACTCGACTCATCTAAAATCAATAACTTGGTATGTTATTGGCATTCAATTAACACCAAGACAAAGCAAATATGTAATAATTGTTAACTTATAACCAAATGTAAACATATATATGTACATAAATGATATAGTGAGGTCAATTTACAGTGTTCACACAATCACATGGTCATACTGAAATACCCGTAAATTATAATACTGACCATTGACATACTTCTTTCATTCTAAATATATGTGAAATGCAAAAGATTTGAAAAATGCAGTCAGTAACAAAATAGATGTAAGAAATGATTAAAATACAATATATAACATCAAATGATCAACAAGAGAATAAAACATAACAAAAAAAGAGGCATTTAATTGTTCAGTATTTACATTAATATAAATATCAAGAAAATAAATTCATACCAATATATATCTTTTCATTTTTTGAGAATTTTTTGGCTATATGTTTAAAGCATTTTTAAATGTCTTCAATATGGAAACGCTGATAAATATCAATACCTAAACACATTACTTAAAATATGCAAATTTATGAATTTAACTTTTTTAAAATGAATGATTTTTTAATTGAATATATAGATATATGTGTAAGTTTATATTCCACAATACTTCTGTTTAACAGGATGGTTGGTGGATGGCAACATGTCCAATGAAAACAAATTGTTTAAGATAATATGGTACATGTTAAAGACTAGCACTAATTTCTTAACAACACACTATATAACATATAAAGCTGTATATCTTATTTACATACAAAACAATGCCTCTAAAACCGAGGATAAATAAAACGACACTTTTTAAAATAAAAGTTTAATTTCACCTGATAATGATATTTAAAACTTAATCCTGCTTCTAATTATATATGCAGGTGTTTAAAAGTGAACATGACTACCTAATTAAAAATTCTGTTTAATATTTGGCATTTCATTCAATGATTAAATGCCCTAATTTTTATTGAACATAAGACGAAGAAGAAGGCACCAAATTAAGTTTAAAAGTCAATATTGTTTATGTTAAATAACTCGTGAAATGTATCTTTGTCTGACTCAGATTTTGACCATGCTACATTGAATGATGGTGACTATAATATAAAGATAATATAAATTGAGGCAAGCTTTCTTTTTATTAATGCCAAATTGTAAAAGGCTAATGTAGGAGTAAAGAGCCCCTCATGTTGTGTGTACAGGATTGATTGATTGTTGGTTGTTTAAGGTCCAGTGGCAAATATTTCATGCATGTTCAGGACGAGACGTGTACAAGAAAACAAAGTCACGTTGTAAAGAGTAAACATATGAAAGTCTGTATCTACACAAAGGTTCTTCAGATTTATGCTTTGACGACAAACAGAAGTAATAAACATTCATCTTTTTTTTTTAGTTTCTCTTTTTTACCTTGATGTTTGTTACAAAAATTAAAATCTGCAACATCTGTGTGGTTATTTACATAACACTATTAACTGACAGTCAAAATAACATATTGAGCTATACAATGACCATGTTGACAACATAACATGTATTTATCTGGATCCAGAAGGTCTAGGCTGTAGAAGTCGGTGATTATTTTTAATTCTGATTAGTTTGATAATACATGTTTCTGATTCAACAGTTGTCACTACATGTACCTTTTTACAGATCTGTCAAAATATAATTCATGATTCTACCTGGTTAGAAATGTGTTTGTTCATTTTTATCTTTATTTATAGCATCCTGTAGTCACTAAAAATACTATCATTCATCCTAAAAATGAAAATCAGAATATTTTTTTCTCACTCCTCTACATTTCACCTAATGAAAGACAGACTTTTTCTTATTTTGTACTTTTTTTTTTATTGTCTGAATTAAACAACTATAGTTTTTGTAACAAACAATTTTGTAGACTTACCTATTTAAGAACTTTCATTTTCTGTGTACATAAGAGAGGTTTTTATGGGGAAGTAAGCAATGGTTTATAACTTTTGTTTCATTTTGCATCTTCTTCAAATTATGATTTATGATAAGAACCTGGGTCCTGTCATTGCAAGATTGTAAAATTCTTCAATCCTTAAAAACTAATAATTTTATTTATTTTTAATAACTGAAAAGTAGTATAGTCTGATCTACTTTTTATATTCAAGGGCCAAACAAATAGCCTTATCATAACCCTTTTCCTTAACTAACAGTATCCAAAAATTATTCAATGAAAATTTTAAATTAGCCAAACATAATAGATCTTTGTCAAAACAGTCAACTGATACAATAGAAATATTGTAAAATTCTCACTAGAGGCATTTTTACAATAAATTCTGAAAACAATATAATATTAAGGACTGGAGGATAAAAGAGACAAATGGAAGGGACATGTAGAAAGATGATATAATGTGTTATTTACAATGGAGAAAATGGTGATTATTTACATCTGAGTCATAACAAATAAAAGTGAGCAAATAACAAAACAAAAACTCAACATTCCTTTTTAAGTTTACAGCACATGTTAACGATTTATTCAAGAAAAAAAAATGTTAAAAAGAATTTTTTTGAATACTAGTTCGTCTTATTTCAAAATGACTTTATTAATTAGTTGATGTTATAGGGAGCGGTTCCATTTGTAAACTTCTCCTTTTTGTTCTTTATCTTTATTTTTAAAATCATCAAAAAACATCCAACCCCTATTACTATACTTGGAACCCCTACTGCTCCAACTTTCAAGATCTATCTTCTTAAAGAAAGAAAAAGTTTAAATTTTAAGCTTAACCACAAAAATCATATTAATGTAATACAAAAATTCGGTCAGGTATCAACGACATTTTTGTACTTTGAATATGAATAAAGAATTACATAATGTGCAGCTCATTGCCACGAGATTAATGCAAACTGCCAAATCAATTTCACTCCATATGTTGCATGCATTTTTGCGTAGGATAATAAAAAATCTACATTAATTTTTAAAAATTGTTGGGGGAAAAAATCGGTCAGAAAACATAATTATAAAGTGTCAAACATGTGTGAAAAAGTAATAAATGGATTCTTCATTACTGAAGCTTTTCTTAACAATAAAACAGTGTACTCAAAATAAACATTAAGTGAAATCATGAACAAGCTTTAAAATTTTGCCCTTTATAAATATTTTCATACAGAAATAACACAACAAGCAACATTTTCATATAGAAATAACAAGCAAAGAATATGTCCATTAAAAAAATCACAAAATTGAGCATAATTTATAACATTTCTTAAGAATATTGATAAAAAGCTGCAGTTCACAAGAGGTATCTTTTACAATCCTGAATTATAGAGCGTGTTTGTTTCTAACCACTATCCATGTATTTGTTGTTTACTACTTTATTATGTTGTAATGTTGTCATCAAAGGATGTATGTGCAGTATAGTTGACTATTAATTAAATGTTTATTGTTTATGCTATATCAGTAGCATTTGAACTTCAGCAATGTAAATACATTGTTTTCCTGAACAAATGGGAACATAAATCATTTTCAATGCAGAAGTATTGTGAGGCATGCATATAAATTTATTAAGTAATGATCTATTGACCAATGTTAACATTGCATTTGTTTCTAAATCTATGTTTAATGTCTTGTTCTGCAGGATAATTAATTGATGACAGCCAAAAGTGAACTCACCAACAGACATAGCTAACAAAATAATGTTAGAAACAAACATGCTCTTATTATTAACTTTGGTTTAAAACAGGTTTTCCCTGATTCATTTAAAAATCTCATAAATTAACTTATTTATTTACAATTGTTTTTTTCTAAGGCTAATTTTCTGTATTAATTCATAAGGCACTTTGGTATTAAAGTTGGAAAATTATAGCATCCAGTCATTATATATCATAGAATTGAACATTAAAATAATATCCTTTATAATTGACATTAATAATTCAATTTTCCAATTCATGTACATTATCAAATTCCACAAAACAACAGCTACATATAGGTTTTCTATATTACAATTAAAGAATGGCTGACTCTATTATGTTATTATGAGTAACTACCATATTTTTAGCACTGTCTTTATATATTTGTATAAAAAAATGTATATACTGTATTTGTAAATGCCCAACAGAATTTAAATGCACATTCACTTTTCCAGAGACAACAAGAAACGTACAATAATTTTGGCAAAAGAAGAAAGTTAATCAAAATAGTTAAAACAAAGGTCATTAGATGTTGACATTTAAAATGAAAACTGTATCCAATTGAAATGCCTAAAAAAGAAATATCCATATTCAAGAATTTAGCAATGTCCAAAAGGCATTAAATCCTACAGGATTGCTAATTTTTTGTATGAATTCTAAAAAAGGTCATTATAAAACAGTGTATGGTACATTTCTGAGTAATTTATTAGTTTAATTTGTCAACATTCCAGCAAGGACAAGACTGTCATCATAATTTACAGATTTGCATTTCACTATCTTTTGGGATTGATTTCTTTACAAACAAAAATCAAATATTCGATAACTCTTTTGAAATATAAGGAAAAAATTTTAATGTTAAGAAAGACCAAATTCTGTTTTATCATATACAAGACCAGCTGTTCAGAGTGTGTATCATTCAAGCTTAGATCAAATCTGATTACATGAAAATGACATAAAAAGTTTTATATCTTTCTATAATCAACATAAAACAGCTATGTTTGATTCTTGATGACTAGAAAGGGTGATGAACTCAATATATATATATATTGTATACTGAATGTACAACTCAATTGAAAATCTTTACAACATCTTTGTTTTCTCAACATTATATAATTTTGTTCTGAAAAGATGAAACATAATCAAGCTGGTTTTCCAAATGTGTCTTCAATTATATCATCTTTTTCACTTTCTTTTTCTCTCATTGGAATTCTTTCGATTCTGATTCCAGTTTCACCTGAAATAAAAAATAAAGAAGCATCTGATAAAAGTGTCACTAAATTCCCTTTAAGGTTTGTCATATGATCGGAATAATACAACAATAATATTAATAAATATTTCTATAATGTCCTCATTGTAAGCATGTGAGAGGCTTATCAATTACACAAAACACCATTACATTGATTAGGAAATAGCCCACACATATCTGAAATATTTCTTTCTGTAAATGTTTATAAACAAGACTGACTATGACTATCCTTCTAAATTAATAATGAAACAACATCATTGGATAGAAAATAGGATTCATCTTTTTGATTGGTCAATAATGGGGTCAAGTCTAAATATTGATTTTAGAAGGCAGTAAACAAAAACATCAGGTGAAGATGAACAATTTTTCACCTCTGTGTGAACTATGTACTCATAAACCTCTACTTCTGAAAGAAAACCACTAAGGCAAAATCATATTGTGAAATAGAATTAACACTATATTTGTTTATTCTTTTATGTTATAACAAATCCCACATTTTAATGTAAACTTACAGATTATCCAACTAAATTTCTTAAAAAAACAAATGTCTTAAAACCAGTGTTTTGAAAAGGGCCTGCAAAGAAGTTTTGTTAAGACTAATACACCTTATCGCTAATTGGTCCAATCCGAAAAAAACAGTCACTTAGACAACTTCCTAAACTGTATCTGTCCCAATTTTATATATCTTTCAAATGAGGCAAAATTTGTTAGGTTATTTACTAATGAAAATTTGTCTATACTTAAATATTTAGGGAGCTATATTATTACATGTCTAGATGTTAGAAGAAATGTTAATTAATGTATGTAATAACAATGATAATTGTAATGATTTTATAGTTCTGATCCTGCCTGGAATTAAATGTATGTGATTTTTATAGAATAAAGATAATAACATCTGTCTGAACTTTTTAATGTTTCATTTTAATATATAAAAATGTTTTTCTGTTACAAATCATGATGTATTGTTTTATGTGTACATGTTATGTTGCCCACCAAGGGCCCTTGATTGGAATAATAAATATTCTTATTCTTATTCTTATTCTTATTGTTTGGGCATCCGGAGCCAAAACAAAGGTCATCAGTAACGAGCTGAGGGAGGAAAAAATTTAGAACGGGAACACTTTGAAACTTTGATAGATTATGATCCACTTTTTCGAAACTCAAATTAAAGTAAAAAAAATATTTTTTTGAAGTGTTTACGATGGTTTAAACAGGTCTCTTTAAAAAATATTATGCATGATACATTGTTTCAACAGGGCCCCAGATAGCTTCAACTGGATGAAAAAGTTGTGTAATTTTAGAACTTACCCGGAATGGAATAAATAGCGATAAGGTGTATATCTGGTAAATATAACTAGTTTCAAAAAGAAGGTTCAGTATAAGTTGTTCTACATGTAAGTCAAATTGGTCTTATATCAAACAAATTCAAGTTCAATCAAAGAAGCTTACAACAATAATTTTGTGTGAAAAAATATAAATTTTGTAACATAAACACATGACGTTTCTAACGATAAATCAGTACACTGAGTGAATGCATGTTTTCATCTGGACCAAAATCAAAACAAGTCAAATGTTTATATTAAAAAAAAACAAAAAATCCAATTATGATAAAACATAGTTCTGTATTAAATATAACAATGTTGGCATGCTTATTTTGGACAAATGTAATGTTTTAAGTAGGACCTGCTTACTGGTGAATGATATTACTCCAGGTAATATTTTACACTGCTCTCACAATATACAATATAAACTTCTTGGGTCACATCACAATAATTATTGAAGCTTTGAATGTAAAAGCAGAAAAACAAATAAATGAGAGTTGAAATATTGATATATTTTCTGTGTTCAAACTGACTATGAATGAATCTAAAAGATTGAATGAATAATATGCTTCTCAATTTTTACAACGATTTTGATTTTGGCGTAATGAAAGTATGCATTATGATTAAGTAATACTGTCAAATGACTGTGGATTCATTTGTTTTTTGTGGGTACAAATTGCATCGATTGAGGAAAAATGTGTCTTTGTTGATATTTGATTTCTTGGTTTAACAAATTCATACAAACTTGTAAGCTCTAAATAAAAAGCCCCATAATTTTATACATGGCCATTTTGTGTAAGAATGTTAGAATATATATATATATATAAGTATTCAGTGAGCAGGAAGATGAGGAGAAATGAGACACACTATATACCATGCTCATAGGAAGATTGATACCAAATTTCAGGAAACTCTTATTTGTAGTTTCTGAAGAATGTGCCAAATATTTATTTGTATTAAGTATTTGGTAAACAGGAACTTGACGAGCAATAGATGTCACATATCACCTAGTATAGAATGCTCACATGAAGCAGTATTTCCAAATTTCAGGAAGCTCTGATTTGAAGTTAATGATAATAAACTGCTTCGCTGAGCGCAGCTAGATACGCCCGCAGAGGTCCAACCCTGAACAGTTTGGGCAAAAATGGACACAATATTCAAGCTTGATTCAGGTCTAAATTTGGATTGTAATTAAATATTTGACATATTACAGGTTTCAGAAAAATGTAGTCAAAGATCTTGAAATTGGTTATATGAATTGAATATTCAATTAAAGATTTCTTGCTGTTGTGCACTACTTAGTAAACCTGTTGTCAGACTATAAATAAATAAAGTTCAATTAATTCTCAATGTCATATTAGAAATTTATGAAAATAAAAAGGGAGCTTACAACAATAGATATAAACAATTCACCAAAGTTTCATGAGAATTGGTGACAGCATTTTTGAGTTATTGTTCTAAAACTGGAAAATCACCCTTTTTTTTAATGAATAAAACCCCTTAACTCAGAAATGTAAAATGTAAAATTTATAAAATTCTAAAGGGAGCTTACATCAATACATACAAACAATTCACCAAAGTTTCATAAGAATTGCTGAAAGCATTTTAGAGTTTTTGTCCGAAAACTGGAAAATCACCCCTTTTTTTTATGAATAAATTCGAATAAAACCCTGTAACTCGGAAACGTAAAATCTAAAATTTATAAAAATCGAAAGGGAGCTCATGTCAATAGATATAAACAATTCACCACAATTTCTTGCAAGTTGGTGAAAGCATTCTTGACTTATTGTCCGAAAACTGGAAAATCCCCCTTTTTTTAATGAATAAAACCCCATAACTCGGAAACGTAAAATCTAAATTTTATAAAAAATGAAAGGGAGCTCACGTCAATAGATATAAACAATTCACCAAAGTTTTATGCAAATTGGTTAAAGCATTTTTGAGTTAATGTCCGACATGTTGACGACGGACGGACAGACGGACGGACAGACGGACGGAAGGACAGAGGTATACCATAATACGTCCCGTAAACGGGCGTATAAAAATGCAAGGACATTTCTTGAGACAGATGGAATGGATTTATTGATTGATTGATTGCTGGTGTCAACACCATGGCCGTCAGTTTTAGCTGGTGGGGGAAGTTGGAGTTCCTGGAGAGAACCACTGACCTCGGCAGGAAATCCTAGTCGAATGCACATACACAACCTCTTGTTTGCAGGCTATTGATCAATGTAGAATAACTTCTTTTAAGACAACTCAGCCATCAAGGCCCCAGAGATAAAGCAGTATAACCCCCTTCCTTCAGAGTGGGGGTATGATAATAAATCCACAGAATACAAAATTACTGAGACATGATTGTTAAGAGGGAAGAAAAGACTAAATTCCCTGTTTCAGAATCTAACGGACTTTGTGTAATTACATTGCTTGTACCCCAAAATAAAAATAATGTGGAATTTCAATTGTTGAGGACAACCTCGGTGTTTACAGGCTATTGATCAATCTAGAATAACTTCTTCAGACAACTTGGCCACCAAGGCCCCCAGAGATAAAGCAGTATAACCCCCTTCCTTCAGAGTCGGGGTAAGATTAAAAATCCACAGAATACAAAATTACTGAGACATGATTGTTAAGAGGGAAAAAGACTAAATTCCCTGTTTCAGAATCAAACGGACTTTGTGTAATGACATTGCTTGTACCCCAAAATAAAAATAATGTGGAATTTCAATTGGTGAGGACGTTGTTTGCAAATCACGCTTGTTGTATACTTTTGAAAATTTTACCCAGAATGCATTAGATTCTGAAAACGGTGAATTAATAACTTGAAGTCAATCAGAAACAGATACATCTGTACCTGCATATTGGCAGAATACTTAGTATCATACCTCAATTTCTTCCTGATGTCTAGTCAGATAAAATTATATGTACTTGTACAGTATTATGCCAGCAATTCATATGAAGTCTTTGATAATTATCACATCAAAATTCTGTTGTTTTAAATATAACAATTAGGTTGGCAGCAGGCACAAGATTTTTTTTAATAGTTCTCTTTGTTGGACAGATAACTATAGTGCCAATATTAAGGAATAATTGATGGATGTATTTACTGTTAACCATTATTTGTCAGAATGAATGCAGATAGTTGCATATTAAAAGAAGTCAGGAATGCCTACAACCCACCAGATAAAATCTTATATATACAGGAATTTGCTTCATCAACTATGCATACTTTTTTATACTTGCAAGGTGTTTTGATTTCTTAAATGACTTTTTTGACATGATTATTTACTGGAGCAACAAGAAAGAGGCCTCAGGATAACCTTAATTGTTTACTCTCTATCGTTTTTCTCATAATTGCAATACCAAATGAAGAAACTTATGATTTTACAGTACATGTATATCAATGAAAGTTAACAATGAATTCAAAATGTTTCATCTTTTACAAGGTCTTGCTTAAAACATTATGGACCACTTATGTATGTTATCTGTGCTGTCTGATTCAAGGGCAAACAGTGTCTTTCCTAAGGGCTGAAATGTAACAGCAACAAAAGTACATTTTATAATTAGTTCAGAATAGTTGGGATGATATATACCGGTAGTACTTTTATAAGCTTCTGCTGCATAGTCCCCATATGTAGATGGGGTATTATTAGTATTGATTTCATGTGG